GCAAGTGAGTCAGGGACACCCCAAACTCTCCCCACCTCACTGCACTGACACCAGCACCCACACACCCCCATTCCCCCACCTATCCATGTGCAATCTCTTCCCCCCCAGCCCAGGTGGGGGCTGAGATAAAATCCTGCTTCTCAAACTAACAGGAACCAGCAGTCTGTCCTGTCTTAACTCTCAGTTAAAGCACAAACAAATTATCCACGCCTCCCCCACCTCACAGCACAAACCAACGTCCCCCGCCTCCACCTTACCCCCATGCCAGCACCTATTTACCCCTCTTTCCCCCACCTACCTGATGCAGTCAGCCCCTCATCTCCCCCTTCCCAGGAGGCTTGAGAATGCTAAGTTTCTGACACTCTCTAGAGTGCAGGAGAAGGCTGGTGGTGGGGGATCTTGCCAGGAACAAGGTGGGGTTGGGAAGGTCTGGGTGATGGGAGGTACTTATTTGGCACAGCTCTCCATGGAAGCACATAGCTCTGTGTCCCCCACTGCTGCTATTGACCATAATTACGGCCAATCAGCACAGCAGGCAGTGCTATTCTGCACTGTTTTTCCTGTACTGGAGAAGGGAGAGAAGCAGCATGCAGAGCCACTTCCTCCCCCTGCAGAACCCGTGTGTCAAATCCGGCCCTGGCTTGCTTGACTCCCATCCTACTTGCCACCCCCAGCTCACTCATGGATCCTACATCCCACCCAGACTCTCTTCCTCAACCCACTCCTGCTCCCAGATCCTACCCCTGTTCTAAATGATAAACAGTTGACTGTGGAAATGCAGTGGAAAAAATCATGCAGTGAATCTCCAAAATGAGGGGAATAGGCTAGAATTAGGACTGGACTGCAGCTCCTGGACAGTTTGTGTGCAAAAATTACAGCTCTAATGCAGAGACATATTCTCAAGGCATATGCCATTTGCTGATTGACCATATCGAGGGCATTTGAGATCTCTATATTTGTCTGTGAAGTTCAGTGGGCACTGACATTTTCACCCAAAGATGATATTGGTACAGAAGGATCACTGCTTGTTACTTCACTACTCTTAAACCTACAGTGAAGGAAGAGACGGCTTCTCCCAATCCCCATAAATCTATCTTCTTTTGATACTTATATGAAGGAGTACAGGACTGATCTACCTTTAGACCTCTGAAGAGCCACTTATACTACTAAGGAGTTTGAAGCTTTTTGTGTGTGCAGGCCCATTGACAGGTGTGGGGTTAGGGGACAATTTTGATACAAAATTGGCCCATTATGACCATTTGGTCTAACCTCCTGCATAATACACAGCATAGAACTTTACTGATTATTTGATACAAAAAGATCTAGAGCTCCCAGCTGCGCTGTCATTCTTACAGCAGGAGTGGCAGCCAGAGCCCTAAGCCCTTTAAATTACTACCAGAGCACTGTGTGGCACACTCTGAGCAGTCCTGAAGATTGCTGGGGGAAGGCATGCCACTCTCCGGGTGGTACGGAGGTTTGCCTAGCCCCAGCTCTGTCCATTCTATCCAAGACCCCGCCCCTTCTGGGGGCACAGAGCAGGGCTCCTCCACACACCTTGCTCAGCTGCCCAGCCAGGCTTTTGGCCCCACTGTGCATATGAATAAGAGAAGCCATTTTTGGCATAATATAATTTGTCTATTTTAAGATATTGGTTGAACTAAAGCTAGGCTCTCTCAGAGGAGTATCACAAGTTGTGAAAATCCAGCTAATACTTCTGAGAGACTGTAGGTTGCATATGAACTCTCTTTTCTTGAAGTCACTCCCACATTTTCAATGGATGTTCAATCATCAAATTCAGGCCTGTTTCATGAAGTTTGTGTAATACTATCTACTCTTCATTTTCCAATGTATTATGCACTGCAGAAGGGAAGTGTTCTTCCTCCTTCAGTTTTGCAGACAAATCTTGTATCTTTAGACGTAAAGATTCAAAAGGACACTAGCATTCTTTGGTGAAATGATGTACAGGCAGCCCCCAACTTGTGACACGATCGATTCCTGGGGAAGCATCGCAAGTTGGGGGGCGTCTTTACTTGAACCCGCATTCACGATAGGCACCGTGCACTGTCGTAAATGCGGGCCAAGGATGTAAGTCGGGGGAGGAGAGATTCAGCCCCTTCTGCACTTTAAAAAATAGTCATAAGCGCGGGGGGTTGCAACTCGGGTTATTGTAATGCGGGGGTTTCCTGTAATGAAGGTATGAGTAATGTCAAGAAACTAGCCTATACTGTCGTCTTTGCCGTGGGAGCATTAACCAGTCTGGCCAGTAATTAACAATCTGATACAATTAATAAGCATTCTAATTTGGGGCTGGCAAGACACCATGTGACAGTAATGCTCGGAATCCAGAATGGCAAGAAGTACACATCTTAAAGCCAAGATGCTTAATTTTTGGATCAGCCATCAAAGTTTCTTCCAATAGTCAGATTTCGAACAACCGCACTAACACTAAAATCCTAACATAGCATAAAGATTTATTAGAATGTATACAGATTTTCATTAAAAATAACTGGGAAATTTAAGAAGGATTCAGACCAATGGTATAGAGCAATTCCTAATCTATCCCCACTAGTAATTGGAAAGAACTGAACTGGCCAGCGTGCCACACCCTCTTTCCTAGACTCATCCCTATAATGTTAGGAACAGAGAGCAAAGGGGCAGGAAGGAGTTCAAGAGCACTCCAATGGGCACTTTTAGTTATGGTTCCATTGATTCAGTGGTACCTGAATGGCATATGCCATGGATGAGAATATGAAGAAGCCACTTGAAGGAGAATTATTTACTGATAATTTTACTCAGAAAAAAAGCTGATTAAATACTAGTCATGGTTTCGATGCACTCGCCCCACAAATCTTAATGAAAATAGGGTTTTCCCCCCTTATATCTGAACAACTTGAAGTGCATCACAATTAACTTTCACTGCACAATTGCAAGATGGGTAGCACTCAAATTTTACACAGAACCACAGGGCATGTCTACTAAGTGGCTCTGCAATTCAGACTCGGTTGTGAATAGCACTACGCACCAAAGAGCTGCCCTGTATCTCCCCCATGTGGACACTGCATTGGAACAAAAAGGTTCCTAGTTCACATTAACTTAATCCCTCTTCAAACAGGACCAAATTGATGTGAGGTAGCAACCATTTAGTTTGCACCTGGAAGAGTTACACAGGAGAACTGCAACCCAGCACTTCGGTGTGCACATCTATTCACATCTCTGGAGTCTGAAGTGTGGGGTAGTGCTGAAGTGCCCTTATACACAGCTATGTTGACACTTCCCTGAGTTCACACAGCAAGGCAATAGCAGAACTGAGAACACAACCTAGGAGTCCCAGCTCTAACCACTAGACATCATGTTACCTCTAACTCAGATAGTTCTGTGCAATTGTACAGCAAATAGTCTTTTGTTTAAGTGAGTTATAAACAACAAAACCACTGCTTATGTGGGCCCTAACTCAAAGAGACACTTTCTTATGATGATGGCTAAATACTGGAAACAGCAAATGGTAGCACACACTTACCTCAAGGCAAGCAAGGTGAACATCTTTTATAATACTGCCATTTTTAGACAATACCAGCTGCTTTAGTAATAGACAGCCCAGTTCCAGTGTTGCCAGACGAACTTTTCCATCTAAAATAAGAAGCCAATTAGCATTCTGATGTACAGGGTATTTACTCAGGAGAAATCTTTTTAAGCAGAGGCTCTCCATGGTTTTTCCATTTCTTCCCCCCACAATGGCCACACAAAACAAAACCAGACTATACTACAATGACATAATTTACTCTCAAGCACATAAAATAATGATCTCTCAAGAGAAAATTGAAGCCTTTTTTAATGGATGGAGTCAACTCCCTCTCTGGGAACTATCAAATCACCATTGCCAGGAAAGACTCAGCCCCAGATACACAACAGTACTAAAAGCAAATTTTTTGGCTCTGGGATAAGCCAGACTGCAGCAAAGAAGAGGCCTTTTTTTAAACATTCTGGGAAAGGAAACCCTATGAATTTTCTTCTCTTCCTATCCTGAGCCCACTCCATGAGATTGAAAAACTGTGTTATATCAGTACAGTTTTCAAGAACAGAAATATAAACACCATTTATTGTCTGTACTGCAGTTGCACCCAGGATACCACATCATGGACCAGGAACTCATTGTACTAAAACTGTATAAAAACAAAAGTCTCTCTCTGCTCCCAATCTAAATATTTGGAAACAGACAACAGGTGAACACAGCCAGATGACAGACAACACACACAATAGGTGGATTAATGCAGAGAGAACAAAACAGTCAACACTGGTCAGTATGAGATTGCTGGTATGCTGAGACTGCTGCCTAACTTAAGTTTTTTCAAGGCATTGAGGAAAGGAGAGTTTTAGGAGGGATTTGAGAAGAAAAATGAGGTAGCGTTGTAGGTTTTTAATAGAGAGTCCTTCCCGCACACGATGGGCAACCTGGAAGAAAACAAAGGTTATTTATTTTAAAACAAAGATTGGCATCACTCAAAAGCTGGGGTAGGAGTCAACATCTCAAAAGAGTAGAAGACAACAGGTAGCAAAGAATAGGCAGTGAATGACCTTGAAAGTGAAGACAAGTAACATGTCTGATGTGGTGGGGAAGCAAAGTGTCAGGTGACAGACAAAGCAATAAGAGAGAAAAGCGATAGCTGGGTGAGGCAAGATTGCTTTTGTCAAGGTCAGAAAAGAAGTAGAGTCGGGGAAGAATGCTGCAGGAGTCAATATGCAAGATGAGGACTTGGACAAGAGTTTTAGTTGTGTGGATTACAGGAAATGCTATATATTAGCAACAATGTGTTATATAGAAAGAATTTGCCATGTCTAGATTCTCACATCCAGGCTGTGATTAAATTTGGCAGAGAAGATGATGCCTAGATTACAGGGAAGATAAGGATGTTGCCTAGTAATAGAGAAAAGAGGGAGAGTGCAAGGATTTGGGGGTTGGGTGATTAAAACCTCTGTTTTGGCCATGTTGATCTGAAACTGACAGCTGGACATTCATTAGATGACAAAGACAGGAAGAGATCTTAATCTGGAAAACAGATGGGGGTTCTGAGAAGAGGCAAATATGACAGAGTCTCATCCATGTTTCAGGATGAGATCGCTCAGAGAAAGTGAAAATGGAGAAGAGGATAAAAAAGGCCAACGTAGACCTCTCTCCACTGTAGTAGTTCAGGTCAGTGATACAGTAAATTTCAGGATTCAGCAGTGTGGCATCTTGACAGATCTCCTGCTCTATCAGTGATGATGAACATTCGGAGGCATGTGTTTTTGTATGCTCCCTCAGTATATCATGCCAGTTCTGAGTAGGTAGCATAATAGACTTCATGAGAGCCCTCAAAGACCACAGACTCAGATAAGACATGAAGGGCATCCGAGACAGGTTTATTGTTGAACCAAGGACATTAATAATTGTTGGTAGCCAGATGGCCTTTGAGGGCCTATGTATTTGTACCCAGGACTCGTCTCAACTGATAGTATGGATTTCACTACTGTTCCTTAGGCTGGCCAAAGAGTTAAGTCAAGGTACCCCAACATTTATAGACAGAAATGAACAATTTTTGATACACACTATCCAGATCATCTTATGTATTATTGCCACATTTGGTACCCCCTCTTGTACTTTCCTCCAAAGCATTCACTACCCATTGTTATGCTTTCATTCTTGTTGTTTTAAGCTATTTTATTATGTAGCTGGTTGTTCTCGTACTGTCTAGCAGTTCTAGTGTAGAGACACTGACTTGCAAGCAAACATTTGCTTTTGGGCCTGGCCTATTACTCATAGTATAACTCTTGCTTACTTTGGTTCAAGCACGGGGCCCATGCTTCAGGCTCTTTCTTTCTCCTATTTCCACAGCTGGAAAGTGGTGTGTGTGTGATAAAATGACTTCTTTGAACTGTGTCTAACATACTGTCAGTTTTGACTAGCAGTGCTCATTATGGATTCCAAGGAAGTGCTTTTGTTTAAACAGAAACTAAACAAATTCTAGCTCTGCATAACTTCCTTCAGTAAGCATGTGCATTCTCAGTCTCTGACATCACACAGCATAAAAAGAACATTTGTGAGTCACTTATTAAAATACTGTCAGAGAATCACTAATATGATGCATTAGCGAGGCTACTACAGAGTCCATACACAAAACACAAGTTAAAGACTGCAAAGGATCACACCCTATTAAGTAAAAAAGCATTTTGATGTCCACTTATGCATGTCTAGGGACCTGCCTGAAATGCATTGGTGTCACAGCATGAAGGAGTAAAGGTGGGAAAAGCTTGTTTCCTCATTCGTTTTTTTGGGGGGAATTAGAGGGTAAAGAAGGGAGGTGGGGGGCTGTGAAGAACTAATGCTTGAATTCCATGAGTTAATTAATTTAGAAGAGATGAGCTGGCTAAAAATAGGGTTGCCAGGTGTCCGGTTTTCACTCGGTAACTGCATCTTCTGTCCAGTAAAAAAAACAGAAAAAAAAGGACATGCAAAATGTCCGGAAAGAGGCAAAAAAGAGGCTGCAGGTCCTTCCCAAGCTCAGGTGGCTGCAAAGGCTTCCAGTGAAACTCATTTTGCTGTTAGCAGGTGTGGGAGAGGAGGAGAGACGTTCCCAGAGTGGGAGGGAAGGGAAGGGAAGGAAAGCCCCTGAGCTCCTTCCCTGCATGGAGCACCTATTGGAAGGAAGGAGGAAGTCATAACAGGGCCAGCTTTCCCCTGCCCCCCGCCCCCACACACACCTTCCCTGAATAAGCTGGCTAGCTTCTCATAGACTAGAGCCTTAACAGTTAAGGAGGCATGCAGGACTGGAGAGAAGGTGGTGCAGGGAATACCTTGCAGGAGTGGGAAGGAAGAGAATAACCCCCAGCTTGGGTTGCCAAATGGTTTCAACAAAAATACCAGACACACTGACATTACATCACAATCTACATTACATCTTATTGAGAAAATACCAGACATTTATATTTTCTCATTTATATTTTCTCAATTTGTTTCCCAAACAGAAAGCTTAAATACTGGACGGTCCAGTTCAAAACCGGACACCTGGCAACCCTACCCCGCATGGGGTTTATTTATGGAGGAAGGAGTGGCCACATCTGGGCAAGCCCCAGAACTCCTTCCCTGCAATAGGCTGGCTGCCACAAGGGGCAGGGTCTTATACCCCTAGCTAGCCCTACGCTGGCTGCAATGCCTCCTTAACAGTTATGGAGGCATGCGGGACCTGAGGGAAAGGCTGGGTCGGGGGAGGAGGAATCCCTTGCAAGAGGGGAAGGGAAGGGAAGCTCCCTCACCCCTTCCCTGCATGGGGTTAGGGTTGCCAGGTGTGCAGTTTTCACCTGGACAGTCCGGTAATTGCATCTTCTCTCCGGTACAAAAAAAAACCCACAGAAAATACCAGTATTTTCTGTTTTTCTCGGATGGAAGGCTGGCAGGGACATTTTTCCCCTGCTGTGTCTGGCGGGTCCTTTCCTCCTCTCTCTCCCCTTCCTCCCCCCCATTCTAAACAAGTTTCTCTTGGTGGTTTTTTTGCTCATCCAATTTTCTCCCCGCCAGGTCCTGGATTTTTTCTGAAAGTATCTGGCAACCTTAGTTAATGAGATCACATTGGAAAAATAGGTGTGTTGCTTACCAACCTCCCTCTCACAAATCTGTACTTTATTAAAAACCTTCAACTTTCTGATAAAAAATAAAGGAAAGCAGACAATTTCTGTGCAAAATGTAATTTAGCCGAATATCCAATATTACACTAAAAATTGACTGAAAATTTGTAATCGGCCTACAAATAAAGGGCAGCGACAATTACTGCAAGAATCACACACAGAAGTAACTTTACTTACACTTTAGTGAAACTACTGCTGTAATTACTCAAGTGCATGTGTGCAGGACTTCAAACACAAGCAATTCCAACAGCTGGGCTGTGTCTACACTGGGCCACTTATTCTGGAAAAGCAGCCGCTTTTCCGGAATAAGCTGCGAGCTGTCTACACTGGCCGCTTGCTTTTCCGGAAAAGCAATGATGATCTAATGTAAAATCGTCATTGTTTTTCCGGAAAAACTATGCTGCTCCCGTTCGAGCAAAAGTCCTTTTCCGGAAAAACTGTTCCAGAAAAGGGCCAGTGTAGACAGCACAGTAGTCTTTTCCGCGAAAAAGCCCCGATCGCGAAAATGACGATTGGGGCTTTTTTGCGGAAAAGCGCATGTACATTGGCACGGACGCTTTTCCGGAAAAGCATCCTGCCAATGTAGACGCGCTTTTTCGGAAATACTTATAACGGAAAAACTGTTCCGTTTTAAGCATTTCCGGAAAAGGGTGCCAGTGTAGATGTAGCGCTGATGTGTGGCAAAAGTAGAATTGTTACTTATACTGCTCCTCAATGACTACCGCCATGTGCATTTTTCACAGGCCAGATCTGGAAGAGCATGCTAGTTCCAGTGGAGAGACACAGTCTCCTCTCCATGGGAAATGGAACCAATAACTTAATAGTTCAAATATTTTTAGCAATGGCATTACATTATTAGAACTTATTGTTGCACAAAAAAAGGAATCAGCTAGCATGATTAGAAATGCTCTACCTGGTTGAGCAGCATAATTCATTATCCCGATGAGCCTTTCTGCAAGAACATGATTGTATGAGCCTCTCTCTTCAGCATGCTGCGCAGGAAGCTGAATTCTCTCCAGCTTGACTGGGTCAATTCCTTTTAAAGCAGGAGAAAACAGAAAGATATTTTTTAGCTAACAGCTAAATCATTTTGGAAAGGTAGAGTGTCAAACGCAATATAGATCTGCATTAGGCATAGAGTAAAATTGCTACATTTGAATGGCTATGCCACAGTCAGAAAAGAAAACAACAGCAGCAGATTGTAACATTTGTTCAGCTTTTCAGATTGGGATTTTCAAAGGAGCCTGAGGGATGAAGGCACTCAAATCCCATTGAAATTCCTTTATTGACAACTCATCAAGTCATGTAAGGGTCCTGCAGAGAGTCTGATTTTAGAGATTTTTTTCCTACATGTTAAAATGTATTTATCATATCAACTGACAGTTTTTAGGAAAAAAGCCTGATTAAAAACCTCACAATTACAAATCCAAAATGCTAAACACACTGGCTTTTGTGAAAATACCTACCAAAAATAAAAACAAAGTCTTTTCAAGCCAAGGTGGATTTGTCAGAATATGCTAGGCTGAAATATTAGCCTTTATTAACATTTGTTAGAGTAAAACCTCTTAGACAATGGTTACAGACTTGTGTTCAAAAGCTCATTATCTTGGCTCCAAATAGCTGTAACAAATATTTCCACAGTACATCAGACCAATGTACTCCAAATTAACCTCCAAACTGCAAATCTCTTGGGCCAAAAATGGCCAAAGCCACACAACAACTGGAGCAAGGCTCATTCCTGTAAAGTCTTAAAATTCTCTCCTGCACATTATCACCATCTTGTGTTATGCAGGCAGTTTTCGACCAACTCTCAATTTCAATTACACACAGAGTACGATGAGATAAGACAGATGGAGCTGAATCCCATCCAGACACTGGAGATACCACCACCCAACCTGTTATCTGTAACGGTCTTTAATACATATAAAGCAGTGTTTTTTAAACTGCGCGCTGTGGAGAACAACAGAATTAAAAATGGCTGCCCTTAAAGAGGCAGGCGACACTTTTTTTGAGCGATAACTTTCCCGACCCTTTTTTCTCCCGCTCAATAACTTCCCCCCTCCCAACTCCTTTTCTGTTCTTTTTTACTGAACAAAAAATCCTTGGTGTTCCTCATAAAAAAATATTGTTTGGTGTTCCTTGGTCTTAAAAAGTTTAAAAAACACTGATCTAAAGAAAAAAGAATCATATAACAGAGCCACAGGGAAATCTGTCTTGGAGATCGTTTGGCTGGTATACAATTATCCAAAAAGCACATTTTGAGACTCTGAAGTTCAGACTAGTATACACTTAAAAGCACTGGTCCTGAAAAAGTTTGGTCCTGCAAAAGAGTTAACAAACCTTATTGTCAATGAAATGCCATCTGAAAAAAACTATATGGATCATGATCAATCGTAGACCAGTGCCAATCAGATGAAAGAAAAGGTGGTAGGATTAAAAGAAACTGAGGCCAAGATACACATTTTGCTACAAATTTCATAATAATCTTAATAAAAAAGAAAATAAAGCATGACTATTGGAAAGATTATCAGTCACAAAATTGATTTTTGAATAATGACAAATTATGAATGTGAATGTGTTACGCACATTCTACTGTCTTTTAGGGAGGGCCTGGACATTTATGAGTACTGGATAGAATTTCTCCCCTCTTACTACACACAAAAACATGAAGGTCAAAAAACCAGTACAGTACGATGGCATAGGATGAAACTTTACAGTACCTTCAGAAGTTCAATGAGCATTACGTGCTGGAACTCATCCAGAAGGGACACTGAATCTTTTTTCCAGGCACACATCTGCCCCTACAATGGTCACTTGCCAAGTTAGTGTCTAATTCATCTTATTTGTAAAGAACTAAAAAAATCCCTCAGCATGAAAGATAGACTTGGCCAAAGAGCCAACATGACAGCCAAATATGTTAAAAGGAGAAATATTGCTTGTCCATATCTGGATTCCAGAGCTAACAAAACCTTTAACAGAACAAATTTAATAATGGAGCAAATGAGAAGCAAGTATTAAGAAAACATATTCAAGCCCATATAGAGAAACACAGAAGTGATTTTATAGCTACTTTGCACGCCTATGACAAAATTATTTAGAATTGGGATGCTTATAAAATTCCAGAAAAGGATTATAATCTGAAATATAGACATTTATGACTTCAAACTATGCTATCATTGCATTGTGCCTAGCCCAATATATGGGACTCAACTTCCCAAATTAGTCAAGCTAAAAAGATTATGTTTGAAAGGAAGTGTTCTATATATACACAGGGACAAGAATTAAAATATTTATCCACTTAGATAGCTGTAATAAAGGTTTTAATAAGAATGCTGAAATTACTGAATCTAACTGCTTCCATTATAATAAACTACTCACATAAAACCCACGTTGATCTGTTCTATTGGGAATTAATTTTTAACTCCTCAAAATGTCACATCTTATTTCCAAATAAACTTCACATGTGCTGCATCCAAACCGAATCTGATTTCATTTACATAATGTAACAAGAGCCTGATCTCCTCCTATTTTTTTTTTTTTTTTTAAGTATTGGCAGTCTAGCATTATTAATGCCCTTCAACATGAACTACAAATGTAGAAAGACAATGTTTTGCAACTGTAAGCAGTGGCGGCCCATCAATACAGGCGATCTAGGCGGTCGCCAAGGGCGCCAATATAAATGGCCATTGAGGGCTTTGGAGGCGGGGGCGCTGATCGCATGTTTCCAGCAGCTCGTCTAGGGCCGCTCCTGACTGTAAGATATATGATCCCAATATACCATGGGATAAGGGCATATTTGATACATAACAAACTTAAGACCTCACTCTTAATTTTCTTTTAAAGGTCTTAATGTGTCACCAATCCCTGGCTTCCATCTTTAAAATACTAAATCTGTATTATATTGGTCCTATCACATTCACTGCACAACTCCAGCTAGAAAATAGAGTCATGTCAGAGACAAAAAAATCCATTTCTCCTCTCCACGGTACGTGGTCTTGAATTATATTTACCAGTTTCACAAACTAGTTCTACCCCCTGAGAAAAAAAAATTGTCCACGGTTTATAATCTCTTCACCCATGTGCCCATAACCCTTAATTGTTTCCAAAATAAAAGCATCCTGAATTTGCATAAAAAGTAATGGTTATTTAAACTGAGAGTCTTCTCATCCTCACCTTCCAGGATTTCTATCAATTTACTTGCCTTTCCTCAACTGACCTTGTTCAAAGTATTAAGGGAAATGCATTTACCACCAAAGCAGAGTCACATTCTTTTGTTGAGATAGTGCTGCAGTCATGCAAGATATATTTTGTACTCGTCAGTATTTCAAAAAGATACAAGAGGTGAAGAGGAAGTACAATTGTCTACTGGAAACTTAAACCAGAATATATTTTGATGGTTAACTGAATTGTAATTGTAATTATCATGTCTATATACCAGTGGTTCTAAAACTGCAGTCCGCATACCACTAGTGATCCGTCGCCACCTTGCAAGTGGTCCCGTGGCTCAATAACAGCCACCCTTCTCCCTCCCTCAGTGCTAGTGCACACTAGCACTCCAGCCCCATGCCCCATACCCCACGAGGCTGGAGTGCCAGCACCAGCTTCCCACTGGGGGTGGGGGGTGGGGTAGGGGAGGAAGCCCCAAGCCTCTCTGCACCATCTGGTTCACAGGGAAGAAGTACAGCCAGAAGCAGATTCCTGAACTACCACTCTCCCCTCCCCTCCCCTGGCTGGGGGGGAACAGCAGCACACAAACGTGCTGCCTGAGGCTTCCCTGCTGCCTCCATTAGCCAGAATCCAGCCAATGGGAGCAGCGTGAGTCTCTGCCTAGGAGTGGTGTGGGGTGCAAAGGCAAGTAAGTGTACCTCCACCCCTCATGCCCAAACCTTGCACCCCTCTCGCTCCCGGCTCTACGCCCCCCACCAAGACCTCGCACTCCCAGCTTGCTCCTGCATCCTCCCTTGCTTCTGAACCCTCCCCACCCCAGACACACACCCTACCCCCTGCCTGATCCTGCACCTTCCTCCCTAGCCAGACACCTACTCCTAGCTTGCTCCTGCACCCTCCCACTGGCCAAATACACTACTCCCAGCCTACGCCTGCACCCACCCTTGCTTCTGCAACCTGTCTCCTGGCCACACACTGCACCTTCCCTTGCTTTTGCCCCTTTCCTCCTGGTCAGACACCCTAGTCCCAGCCTACTCCTGCACCCTCACTCACTCATGAACCCCACCTCCTGCCCAGATCCTGCACCCGTATCCTTGTCCCACACACTGAACCCCTTGTTTTTGTCCCTACCCCAGAGCCTAAGGGGATCCATAAAAATCACTAACTCCGAATTTCCAGAAAAGTAAATCTGGCTTATGTGAAGCCTTAAATCTCAGCCCTCCCAGTGCCTTCCCTTCCCCTCACCCAGTGGTGCTGGAGCAACAGAGGAGGGAGGTGTCTCAGTTGGAGGCCATATCAGTGATGGTTGGGGGTTTTTGGAGGAGGTTTTTTTTGCTTCTCACTTGTGTGGTCCCCAACTGATTATTCTGTGGGTCACTGGCCCCTGACACAAAAAAGGTTCCCCATACCTGCCATAAATAAAGAAAACATTGAAAACTTGTGTGTTAGACATAAAATATTAATTTATTTGATTTGACTTAAAATGAAGTTTGAGAAGCTAACTGGAGAAAGTTAAAGTGCTTAGTCTGTTTAATATTCCTTTCTTACTGGTTAAATTAAACTATTCTCCCTAGCTACAGCACTAGCAAAATGGCTTAGGCATAATTACATAGTTAACCGCAAGTTTCCATTAGCAACTGGTGGTCTGCAGAATGGTTTGCATTGAGCCAAGCAGACCAGGGGCCAAAAACTTAGAGGACCACTTCTCTATACTTCCACATGTGAAATTATTTTTTATGTTATGTGGGCATTATTCAATGCCTTTCATGTATTAGGACTTCCCCAAATTCTGATATTAGCTTCAATTCATATCATTGTGTGTGTTTCATAAGTTTACGTTCTTTCACAATGAAAAATCAATTTAAGTTGCATCTGTTCATTACAAGATAATCAGCAGTCATGCCAACTCTGCAATTAGGGTTGCCAGATGGTTTAACTAAAAATACCCCCCCCCCCCAAAAAAAAACACCAGGAAAAAATTCTGTTAAGACAAAAAAAAGGGGGGGGGGGGGAAGAGGGAGAGACCAAAGTTGTTGAGAGAAAAAAAAGGAGTGTTGGCGCCTTTAAATGGCTCTGTGCTCAGTGCCCCAATCCCAGTGCACTCACTCCTCCCTCAGTTTCCCCCATCCCAATGAACTCACCCCTCCCCCTGAGCCAGGCATCCCCAGTGCCAGGAGCACCCTGCCCCGCTCCGATCAAATGCTCTCCCTGTCAATCCCCCCCCCCCCCCCGGGAAGCCAGGCACCGGAGGAATGGGACGGACAAGTAAGGAAATCTTACTTTTAAAGTCGCCGCTCCTGCCACCCAGCCCGGCTGCCTCGGCTCACAGTGTGTAGAGGGAGGCATCATGTGGCCAGCTCCCAGGTCTTTGCTCAAAATGTCACGTGGGCAAGTGCCCCTCCTGCCTGCCCTTTACTCCGCCTCTGCCACACTCCTCACTGCCCCGCCAGACATGGCAGAGGAAAATTGTGCCTGCCGGGCTTCCATCCGAGGGAAACAGGAAATACCGGACATTTCACACGTCCGGTATTTTCTGGGGTTTTTTAACTGAACAGAGGCCACAAATATCAGACTGTCCGGGCCAATACCGGACACTTGGCAACCCTATCTGCAACTCACCCCAAGTAATATCATATATACCAGCATATGAACCAACTGCAAAAATACTAAGTAAAAACCCCTTCATAATAAAATCTTTAACATTTAAACCAACATATTTCAAAGTTGTAAAAGACAAATAGAGTTGTGTCACTAGCAAAGGACTTGGGGAATTGACTACCAACTACAGGGCCAGTAGACTTTTAAAAACAAGGGACCTAATTCTCCACTGCCTTGCATATCCTGTAGTTACTTAAACCTAAGCAAAGGATAAAATGTTATCAATTCAGAGTTCTTCAACATGGCAGTATTTTATGCCTACTTTTCACTAATTTCAAGCACATCTCTGTGAAAGTCAGGGGAGAATCAGGCCCAAGTGTTCATATTGAAAATATTTTATTAGTTTAGCTTAAGAGTACAGAAGTCAAGTAACCGAGAATAAAACGCAAATGAGTAGAATCACAGAATCACAGGTTTGGAAGAGACCTGAACAGGTCATCAAATCCAATCCCAACTAAATCATGTCAGCCAGCACAAATTCATTTCTAGTAACAGGAAACCAAGTGAAGAAACAAACCATCCAAACATTTATAGCATTCTATTAAAAATTATTTTGAAGGCAGATACTACACAACTTTTACTCTCCCACATCTGTTTTTCCTTGCATCGTATGAGGATTTTGTTTCTTGTGATTTATGCCACATAGAAAAAACAAATATGCACTTCATTGAAGAAATGTTTACTGAACTAGAACCGCTGAGTACAGCCAGTCAGATCTCATTTCATTCTCCTTTTTGTGGAGAAAGACACATTTAAGATTAGCCAAAGGGATTAACGTCTTACCTTTATTTTGAGACATTGCATACAGAAGACAAAGCACGAAGAGAGCATAGTAATCATCTTCAGTACAGTCCTGTGCATTATACACCATATCAAGAAAAGGCCTGTGAAAAAGAGTAATATTTAAATGATTTTAGTCTCATGCCTGAAGAACTAAATAATTGTAACACAGCCTGTACCATTATCTACCTTTGCAACAGACTGTCTCACTATCAAATTATGCCTCAAATTTCTTTTTAGATATGGTGAAGAACAAAAGTCAAGCTGTTTGAAAGCAGTTATTCTATTGTGTTTATTATTGGTACTAGCCAATTAGCCCATCATAAAATGGGATTTTCAGGTCTCTCCTCTACCTTGGTCTTCTCTCCTGTGCCTCCGGTCTCTCGCACCGTCTCTCTCTCTCTCTCTCCTCCTACTGCCTCCCCCTCTGTCTCAGCTCTCCTCCACTTCCTGCAGAGCCAGGCACTCCTAGTCCCCCCGATCTAACCCAGTGCCCTTCCCCTCCCCAGAGCCAGGCACCAGATATATGGTAACCCTACCTTTGAAGTGCCTGCTCCCACCGCCTGGTCCTGCCTTGGTGGTTTGTTTACAGCCTCCCTAAGGGTGTACCTGGCGGCCGGGGGGGGGCGGAACAGTGACTTACGGCCAGGGGGTGGGGGCCTGTATGTCACCGCCCCCCCCCTTCCCCGCCTGCCGCGGGGGAGCCAGGAGCACAAGGGGCCATTTGTACATCACCCCTGGCCATGTACATCACCGCTCTGTCCCCTTCCCCTCCCTCCGTGGCAGCTCAGCGGAGGGTTGCGCGCTCAGCCAGGCCGCCATGGGGGAGGAGGGGTGGGTAGGGTTGCCAGGTGTCCAGCATTGTACCGGACAGTCCGGTATTTACGCGCTCTGTTAGGTAAAAAAACAGAAAATACCAGACATGTGTAATATCCGGTATTTTCTGATTTTTCTGGCTGAGCACCAGACGGAAGCCTGGTATGGGTGGGGGGAGTGGTTGGGAGTCCCAGCTGGAAGACAGGGCTGCGATTGCCGCTGGGAGCCCTCAGTCGGGTGAGTGTGAAGAGGAGGAGAAGCCTCCTCCTCGCTCGTGCGTCGCCGGGACCCTGCGCGGGACAGGCAGCAAGTGCCCAAGTCAGTCCCGCTCCCTGCTGGCCAATTTCCTCATCTCACCCCTTCCCAGCTGGCCGGTTGTCCC